ACAGTGGGTCCTTGGACAGTATGGTAACCATGAGCTACGCTTCACTGCCCGTCATTTCCCTATCATTTCGGAGGCCTGGTCTCAAGCGGCCGGGGCACCACGGCTTGGTTCCGTCGAATTTCCCAGCTCTAAAACGCTCGCCGGCAAAGTCTGGGGGCAAGCATGCATCAAGTGGTAATCAGGGCATTCATAGTGACTGGAAGGCAGCGAGTAGGCGGGCGAGTGATTCACCTGCAGCTGCAGTATGCGTTTGGGGTGCGACCAACCAGACAGGGCCTCGTTCCATCAAGGAGGGCCCCCCCCCCCCCCCTTTACCCCTTGCGAATGGGAGCCGGTTTGACGGTGTGGAGTCACTCTTCTCAGCTCCATCGCCTACGCACTACTTGCTCGCACCCATGCGGGCGGCTGGTCTCGTCACTCGCTGGCCGCGTCGTTGAGCAGGGCCCCGTCTTATCATAGGAAGCACTGACCACAAACGGCGGCTGGGGGTGGTGTTTGGGGCAGGTCTGCGCGCGGGAGAGACGACAGGCGCGTCACAACAGCTGTGACGTGATTGCGACAAGTTTTACTGCCAAGTGGAAGAACATCTCAGTGAGCCACGTATCGGGCGACCCAACGACACGTTTCGCGTTGACGAAATTAGAGAGCAGGTACAGAGATTCCAAGGAAGCAAACCTCCGATGCCCTTCTTGCAGTCGGCGCCGTCGTAAGGCTGTTGTGTGGGTTGAGCAAGGGTCGCCCTGGCGCATTTGTCGGCATCAGAGGAAACCGACGTACAAGATGGAAACCCGACAAAAAGGTACGAATGAAGAGTGCTAAATGTCACAGCAAGTCAGGAGTGGCCGATCGACGATACAGTCACACCTCGCTTGGTGCTCATTCATCTCCCCCCCGTGAGTTCCGCTGATGTTTTTGGTTTAGGTAGACGAGAACGAATATCCAGAAGCGAGACTACCATCTGGCCGGATAGGTGATGGGCCGTACTGGGCTTCTGGAGTGCGGGCTTCTGGGGCACAGGTTTCGACTGCCCTGATAAGCGGCCATTCCAGAGTTTCTGTTCTTTCACTGTACCTGTCAACACGAACTGAACGACAATCTTGGAACAATGGCACGTACGGTCGGTAGTTTTACTTACCGGCCGGACCGGCGAATACATTTTTTGAAGAGGATGCACGAAGACGGACAGATGCAACTTGCGTGGAGCTCCTGGATCGGCGCACCCCCATGTCCTTCTGGGGCACAGCAATCAATCCTGTTCATCTCAACCGAAAGTTTAAAAAACTGGGGAGGTCCAAGACCAGAACAATGGCTAGCGTCCGGGACAGGGAGGGAGACTGCCTGCCACACGCACTGTCCCCTGATCCCCAGTACCTTATAACAGCTGATCTGATGCGGCGCGAGGTGGTTGCTGTCTGGAGCACGAGCTGGGACCAGGCCGATGCACGCCAAACGAGTTCACCATCGGTGACGCCATGGCACCTCATGACGGCCTAGGTGCTTACATATCCCGACAAGAACAAAACGTCAACGGGCACTCTAATGGATGCTCTCTGTTGCGCAAGTATGGAGGGTTGAGCATATGGCCTTCGCGTCGCCTGGTGGCCTGTGGACCCTCTCGATATGTGTGGCCCGGCCCGACCTGTGTGCCTTCGGCCTCGGAAGGCGGCTTCATCTCGAACACTGGATTGCTAGTAGGCCTGTCTCGAAGCAGCATCCTACGAGGCGAGGCGGCCCACCGCCATGCCTGCCAACCTTGCCTAGCCCGCTGCGTCCACATGTAAATGAGAGGTACGGGGCCAGTCAAGACGATGGGACTCGTTCGCTAGCGGGTCGATCATGGTCCATGTACATGTAAGCCTCTCGCACAGCGAAATTTTGGCAGTGCAGACAAATTAATATGACTGACAAGAACCCCCATTGCAGATCCCAAAGATTTGGTGCACACCACTTGAAGGACAGAAGCACCAAACAAGGACCAGCCTCCATCCCGGGGAAGATGGCCACTCCATTGGTTTGGCACGCCGTGGCATGGGATGGCACGCACCCACGTCCTTGGAGGGGGGTTTCGGTTTGAGATCTGGCTAAGCTACTTCCTTATTCACGATGAAGTTCTAGGCAAGCTCCACACACGCGCGCTCGTGCTGAGGTGCCTGCCCGCCTGCCATTGGCGTCTGGCGAACCCCCCCTTGGTCGACTCTTGGGCCCGAAAAAGAGTCGCTGCTCTCTGGTCTAGTTCGCTCTCAATACCCTGGTCCTGGCACGAGGTGACCCGGTGGGCGGGCGGTGGGCGAGGCGGCCTGGCTTGGTCTTGGGCCTTGACCTTGGGCCTTGGGTGGGCTGCCAGCTTGGGCGGACTGCCAGCTTGGGCGGACTGCCCGGCTGGCGGAATGCGTATTACTTGATCTCATGTTTTTTTTTTCACAATGGCAGGTCTAGCCCCTCCCCTGAGACCACACCCTTGGAATTGGGGCCCCGAGCCGTTCGCGTTGGTGCCCCCCCCTCCTCTTCCTCACGTTTTCGATCCTTGCCCGCAGTTTGGCTGCCAAAGCAATGAAGTCTCCCACCTGGAGCCAGGTGGAGTACGAAACCTGAGGATTTTTGATGAGGGAAGCCGAGAGTATCATGTTACCGTGCACTGTGTGCGTCATGCCACAATGTGTCTGGTTTGTTACCCGCGCTGCCTGCTATCCGACCTTTCGTGATTGAACTGTACAATGAATTAAGTGACCAAAGAAGGGCTCCTATCTAAGGATATCGAAGCTCGGTGCCATGTACATGATTCGAGCATGAGGAGGACTATCATAGCCTGATCCTTGCCTCTCGTTGATGGGGCACTTGCTACTCCATTACTTATCTGATCATAGACCAAAGCCGGAAGTGCGCACCGCCCCACCTGAACCACACCAGTTTTGTCACGTTGAGGGAAAAAAGGACAAGGTACCCCCCCCCCCCCCCCCCTTCCCTTCCCCTGGCCATCTGTGACTTGACCTGATCTGATCTTGGCCATGCAAGCCCAAGGCGTTCTGCGTTCCTCACCCGCCGCCCCCGACCCCCTCTCCCGTGAGGCCCAGCAAGCATTCAAGACGACTCAGTCTTCAGTCGTCATGCATGATTATCTCGAGAGATATTATTCCCTCTCGATTTACGTGGAGCTTATTCTCTTCTTCGCACAAGGATGCGAGGGCGTGGCAAAACAGCGAGGCTTTGAACGAGCGAACATGGGATGGTAGTCATAGCTATTAACTTGGCTGAGGTAGAGTCGGGCGGCGGTCTATGTACTTCTCTCGCCCGGAAAAGCTCGTTTACCGTTGATGAGAGAGACAAGGTGCTTGCCCAGGTAGCTTGATTCTCGCCATGCTTTCCTTACCTTTTGCCTGCCTACAATGTACTCGCCGTGACCACCGTACCGCCGCTTCCCTACCCATATTGGATTGTCAGTGGCCACCCAGCCATCCAACCCTCCAGGGGTCTTTTTCAGCCCTCCCGAACTAGCAGGCAGGTGCCACCCGGGACTCTCCCAAGTTTGATCCAGCGCAGCGCATCCTTCCCGCACCTCACTCACTGTTGACCATAACCGAGCCGGCCCATTCGTCCCAGGACATCCATGTCTCCCTCTATATATATATATATATATATATATATATATATATATATATATATATATATATATATATATATATATATATATATATATATATATATATATATATATATATATATATATATATATATATATATATATATATATATATATATATATATATATATATATATATATATATATATATATATATATATATATATATATATATATATATATATATATATATATATATATATATATATATATATATATATATATATATATATATATATAT